GGAGAGGGGGCGGGGGGGCGTACGGGAGAGGGGACAGGGGCAGTGTGAGCGGGGTGAGGAGGGCCCTAAGATGGCCCTGATCTCGACGCCATCTGCATGGCCCTGATATGCCCACTTGCCATAGCGATGGGCCTGGGACCCGGGCGGCCTGCTCTTGAACGCAGCTTACAACAGGAGGGAGTTGGAGGTCAGCAGCCCGGCCTCAGCTCCCGCGACCTCAGCTGCCCCAACCTGTGGAAGGCCTATCCCCTGCGCGGGCAGGGAAAGGTGAGCCAGCCGGCCACCCGGAATCCCTGGAAACTACGATGATGGTGGAGAGTCGGCCCGCTGCAGACAAGCCCATGCACACAGGAGACCCCACACCCAGGCCACACTCGGGCTGTGTGTGTGGCAGAATGGGGAGGGTGGCACAGACTCACATGCGCCCGGGGCCTCTGGGTCCCTGGGTCCCTAGGTCCCTGGCTGGGGGAAAGTCACAGCCCCTCAGAGCTGGACAACCCATCTTTCACCCTTGGGTGATGAGAGGGTGAGCACAGGAGCTGCCCCTAAGGGCCACAAAGTCCTGCAGGAAAGGACGAGTGGCCGCACACCACACTGCCCACTGGCAGCTCCCGGCCCTCCCCACAAGGGCCCCAGGGCAGAGGAGGGCCAGGGCCACCTCCAGCTAGCAGTCAGTCCTGGTAAACTGAGGCCAACCCCCAGGCCCTGTGCTCTGTCCCAAAGAGTAACAGCATCCTGGTCCACTGAGCCCCATGGAGCAGGAGCGCGCAGCACACAGCCCTCGCGGCTGCTCCCCAGCCAGGCCAGCACCCTGGGAAGAAGGCCCATGGACCCCAGCTCCCTCGTCCTCCAAGCATGGTCTGGCCTTCCAGCCACCACCACCCCCCTGTGGTTCCTCAGCTCCTTCTGCTCCTGGGGAGGGGCTCAGGGACCAGAAGGGACCAAGGACCGGCTTGTCCACCACCACATTCGGGCAGTACCAGGTCTGGGCCCTCAGGACCCCATGGGTCTGCAGTCCTGGGACTGGGCTCTCCAACAGCCCTACCCGGGGGTGCTGGCCTCGGGGGCACAGACCGCAGGGACAAGCTGCTGTATCCAGGCCGGGTGCAGGAACGGCTGGGTGCTCCCTGGCTCCCCAGGGCACAGTCTAAGGCAAGACCATCCCACCCCCGGGAAGTCTCTTCCCGGTCAGTCCCCAACCGCCACGGGAGCCTGGAGACCCAGGAGGCCAGCGAGCACTGCAGGTCCTGGACAGCAAGGCATGACACCGCACAGGTAGGGAGGACATGTGTTGTCGGAGCTGCCACATCAGAATCCCTCCAGGGAAGACACCCCAATAGCTCACGCCAGCTGGGGCTCAGCGAGAGCAGGGATGTCCCCATACTTCTCCATGTTTAAACCGATAGGGAAGAGACGGGCAATTTAGAACTTCCAGACTCTGGGCTAGGCGGTCGGGCTGCCAAGTGAGAGGCTTGGGGAGGGTCTTGGCAGACGGTGGCCCTGAGAGCTGGAAGACACTCTGAGGTCGAGGGAGGGACGCAAAACAGAAAAGCCAGGCTAGCCACCATGCATGGTCCCAGCCTGGGCCCTACTCCCCCACCCGGCACTCCAAGGAGCAGCCGGGACAGCGCTGGCAGTGAGGCATCTGCCCTGCGGCCTTTAGGAGCACCTGGACGGTGCAGTCTATTTCCCCACCGCACGTGGGCACAGAGCTCGGCGAAGGACACTGTGCCAAGTGTCAAACGCCCGCCCGACTGCAGAGACTTCGTGCCGACAAGACGCGGAGGACATTGTGGATGACCGCTGAGGTGCCATTTGGGGAGGAGGGCACCAGCGCCGCCTCACAGCAGTCCTGATGAGCCGCTGCAAAGTCTGAGCTCCACGCGGCTCGCCTGCAGGCCACGCCCTGTGGGGGGCAGCAGTGCCGGCACTACGGCGTCCAGCCTGACCGTCCATGTCGCCTGGGCTCACAGACGATTACCTGGGGCCCTCAGGGCCCCAGGCTGGAGGCCAGAGCTGGAAAAAAAGCCACCAAGTCAGGGCTTCCCGGCTCACGGACCAGAGAGCGGATGGCACACACCAGAGCCCAACCCACACCAAGTCTGGGAATGACCTTCAGGTGGCCCTGGGACAGCCAGACCGGACACCAGTCTGCCCTCTAGGGTTCAAGGCTGCCTACTTCCAAAGCAGGTTCAGGTCACCAAATCAACAGAGAGAGAGCCGGCCGGCCCGAGTCTGCTCCTGGACGCGGCTGTGGAATGAAGCGGCGGCTGCTCTCCTGGCCCAGACGGCCTTCATGGTCTAGTCAGGAACAAAGGAGGGGTGGGCTTTTCCAGAACAGCAGGTGGGGGTCCCCACAGACCCTTCCCTCAGCAAAACAGCCACGACCAGTCAGCTTTGTAAGACGACGCTGCTGGCAGTCCCTGGGGAGCGTCTCCAGGGCCTTCAGCAAGAAGAGAGGGCTGTGTCCACGAAGCTCTGTGAGTCTGTGACTCGGCCACGGCGGGCACAGAGCCCTGACAGCTCCAGGGGCGCAGGCCAACCACTGACCCGCCTGCCCAGTTCCCGGCCGCCCCTGCTCCAGCCCCTGCCGTGGCCTGCTCCCAGGCTGGAGGCTCCACACCAGAAGGCGAGGAGACCCGGGGCGACCCCTGGCGCCTGCACTCGGTAGGGCATCACCCAAAGGCTGACAGCTGCTCCTGCCACCAGCTCCAGGCAGGGGCTCAGAGGCTCTGCTGGGGGAGCCGAGAACAGAGTGCTCTGGGCGTCCCTAAGGATGAACCTCCCAGAACAGTGCAGGCAGGCTGCGGCCTGGGATGTGCGAAGCCGAACTGGCAGCAAGCAGGGCACAGCCAGAGGGAGAGGACCGACACCGGCCACCACGGCGAGGGTGTGAGAGAACAGAGAGAACCATGCATGGAGGTCCACAGAACAGACGCCGAGGAGGCCGTCCCACAGGCCGTGGCTACCGAGCGAGGCGGGAGCCGCAGAGGATGGCAGTGGGCAGACCAGCAGATGGCGCAGTGCGTACGTCACCGGACTCCCACAGGCAACTGAGGTTTGAGTCCCAGGCCCAGCAGCTTAAAACATGCCAGCTGCATGTGTGTGAATGCTCAAGATCCCTAGATGAGCACGGAGGGGAAAGGATTGCAGGGTGGCCATCCCCCCAGGGGTGATTTCTTGCTGTCTCTCCGGTGAGCACACACACACCCTAGAGCAAAACTCTCTCTAAATACATACATACACGCATGTGTACATACACATGCACATATACATATATGTGCATACATGTGTATACATGTGTGCATGTCTACATGTGTGTGCACGTGCGTGTGTACATGCATACACATGTGTGTAACCAGGCCTGACGGGCAGAGGGCTCAGTGCCCTCAGAGATGAACAAGTGGGAATCTCACCCGAAAGCCAAGAGAGGCAGAAGGAAGGGGAAGGACGGAGCCTGCCGAAGTGTGCCAGTGTGGGCTTGGGCCGAGCTCCCCCACAGGAGGGAAGGTCAGCCTGCCCCCGGGGCACAGCACGCAGTGGTAAATGCCGGAGAGAGAGGCGGACCCCAAGGCAGCAGAGGAGACTGGCTGTCGTGCACAAGGAAACCTGCGCTCAGCGGCAGCCAGCGCAGCCCCCGCAGCCCCGGAGACTCACCAGGAGCCTCTGTCCAGCAAAACACTTTCTCAAAATAAGGGGAAGATAAAGACCTCCCCAGACAGACTAGAAACTGTGAGAGTCGTTGCTGGCAGCACCCACCTTAGAAGAGATGCTAAATAAATTCTTTGTGCTCAGAGCCGGTGACATCAGACCCACTCAAAGCCCATGAAGGATCGGAACGCAGGTGGGGAGACGGGGCCTCACCAAAGGCAGTGTAAGGCTCGCTCCCTCCCCTTCCTCTTAGCTGACTTAAAATCCACTGCATGCAGGCCAGCAGACGGCGCCACATTTACATCACTGGACTCCCGTGTGGCTGACCACGGGCTTGAAACTCACACCAGGCGCGTGTGCATGTGTGCCCAAGATCCCAGGAGGAGAATGGAGGACAAAGGATTTGTGGTGTGGTCACCCCCCTGGGCGGTGATTTCTCACTTTCTGTCTCTCTGTCTCTGTCTCTGACAAGTACACATGCCCTAAGACAAAAACCTCTCCAGGAAAAAGAAATTATTTTTAAAGATGCAGCTGTGATCCAGACACGGTGACATGCAGACACCACCTGGGAGGTCAAAGCCACGGGGCCAGTTCAGTTCTGGGTCCCCCCGAGCACCTCGGACGCAGCTGCACACACACATACTCCTAGCCCACAGGAAGGCTATGTCGCTGGACTCCCATGTAGTAGATCACAGTTCAAGTCCTGGACCTGGTGGCTTAAACTCACGTGGACACATGTGTGTGCGTGCCCAAGATCCTGAAGGGAGAATGGAGGAGAAGGGATTGTGGCGTGGCCATTCCCCCAGGGTGTGATATCTCGCTTTCTGTCTCTCTGTCTCTATTTCTAGTAAGCGCATGCACCCTACACCAAAAAAGAAAACCTCTCAAAAAAATGTTAAGAAAAAAAATAGATTAAACAAAAATAAACCTTAGAACAAAATATCACTAGAGGGACCAGCAGTTAGCGTAATGGCTATGTCACTGGACTCCCACATAGTCGACCGCGGTTGAGTCCCAGACCCGGTCGTTAAAATTCACGTTGGGTGCGTGTGCATGCGTGCCCAAGATCCTGAGAGGAGAATGGAGGAGAAGGGATTGCAGCGTGGCCATCCCCCCTTGGGGGTGATTTCTCGTTTTCTGTCTCTCTGTCTCTCCCGCGAGCACACGCGCCCTATAGCAAAAACCTCTCCAAAAAAATCCCACTAGAGATGGAGAGGTGTTTTATAATACAAAGACGCACCCATAGGAGAGCTGTGATGACTTCCCAGAACCACAGACACACCTGTTCGTCTCAGCAGAAAGGAAGCCTTGGGCAAACTCCAACACGCTCTTAAAAAACATCCAGGGGACCAGCAGTTAGCGTAATGGCTATGTCGCTGGACTCCCACGTAGTCAACTGCGGTTCGAGTCCTGGACCCAGTGGCTTAAACTCATGCCGGGCGCGTGTGCATGTGTGCCCAAGATCCCGAGAGGAGAATGGAGGAGAAGGGATTGCGGCGTGACCATCCCCCCTGGGTGGTGATTTCTCGCTTTCTATCTCTCTGTGTCTGTCTGTCTGTCTGGCGAGTGCACGTGCGACCTATAGCAAAAACCTCTCAAAAAAAACAAAAACAAAAACAAAAAACACCCAGTAACTCAGAAGAGGAAATTCAAATAATAAAGGACGACAACAAAAAACCCAGAGCTAACACTACCCGACAGTGAGAGACCGAGTGCTTTCTGGCTAAAATCAGAAATAAGACATGCTGGCCACCCTTGCCCCTGCCGAAGTCCCCAGGCTAAAGGGACGTGGAAGCGGGCACGTTGGGAAGGGAGCAGAAGCCTAGCTCACAGACGCACGCCACAGTGGAGCACCCTACGCCCTGGTGCACGGCCGGGGAACCACAGATGCACTCCACAGCGGAGAGCCCTACGCCCTGGTGCACGGCCGGGGAACCACAGATGCACTCCACAGCGGAGTGCCCTACGCCCCAGTGCATGGCTGGAGAATGCTCCACGACTTTGGCAAAGTCACATACGAGGTCGATGTGCGAAACCCAACTTATTTCAGCAAAGCGGCGGCGAGCACTCCGGGGTGGAGCTCCGTCATTTGCAGAAGCGTCAGGCGGAATGAATACTGCAGACTGAAATTTAAGCACATCCAAATGCACCGCTGGACTTTCTTCCTCTCCCCCCTCCCCGTCTCCTGCCCTCCTCACCCCCCACACACGCACATGCACACGCACACACGCGCGCACACGCACACACCACCATGGCTCCTAAGAGCCACTTCATGCTCACAGCAGCAGGGCTGCGGAGGGTGTGCTGCAGGCAGGGCGGTGGGACAAGACTCACATGCGTGGCCAGAAGTGAGCGCAGACGAGGGGAGCTGGGCGGGGCGGATGCACACGCGAGCCAGCAGCGGCGGGAAGCGCGTACCCAGACAGGACCGCCTGGGGGGCAGCCGGAGGGCGTCGTCCTTACCATCTGTGGCTGCGGTTCGGGAAAGAAGGAAGAGGAGGAGACAGAGCAGACTGGTTTGACACTGCTTGGCCGTGCTGTGGTTTCTCTTTTACAAAAAAACCTTGGGACAGAAAGACCGCAGGATGTGTGCTGTGACGCGAACGTGCCCCCCGAGCCGTCCTCCCCCAAGCTGACCCTCATCCAAGGTCCTGAGGCCGAGGCGAGGCGCAGGCCCCCCACGGCACAGCCCACTTCCCCTGGCAGTGTAGCTACTCTCCAGAAGGTCTCCGGTGATGCTGTATCCAGAGACGCTCCACAGACGTCCACTCTAGGTGAGCAACCCGTGCCAGACGGTGTGATGGTGGGGTCTGCAGCCCAGGTGTCCTGAGACGACAGGCCGGGGGGCCTCCATCCACACACACTGCTCCGGACGGCAGCCCAGACGCCTCCCTGGGGAAGGCACTGAAAAGCAGGTCCCTGGCACCTCAGAGCTGGGCAAGTGGCATGTGCCCTGGGCAACGCAGGCTCTGCCCTGATGTGGAGGCACCTGCCACCTGGACCCGGAGCTCTCCTCCCAAGGCGGGTGCTCCTCAGACATGTATGGGGGACTGCAAAGTTCCTGCCACCTGCGAGGGGTCTGTGAGCCAATGGCACCCCGAATCTGCAGTCCCCATCCCTCCCTGCACCCCAGAGCCACTCGGATCCCTCCGCCTCTCCCTATTCTGCTATGACTTGGGCAAACTCTGCTCTT